CAGGCAGAAAATCCGATATGTTCTGGGTCGATAGCACGCTGTGCAGACTGGCCGATAATTGTCCAGGCTAGAGCTGGCTGGTAGGTAGTGCAGGCCACGGACAATGGTGAAAACCGCTAACAGTGGCTAATAGCAAGTAGCTAGTTAACTAGCCAGCTTCAGCCGGTTCTAGATAAAAAGGTATAAGAAATAATAGAATCCGTTCCACATTGGGTGAGGCGGGTTGCAGGAAAGTATATTTAGTTGAAGGATGAAAAGTGAGATTGAGAAATATATAAGAAAAAAACAAACAAAAAAAACAGGCTATTTACACGAGCACACTACAGAATACACGACTGCACTGCTACGCCATCTTGGATAAAAAATGCGAAGGAGATGTGTCACGCTGCATGAGGAAAATGATGGTCACACCAGATACTGACTGGTTTAATGATCCACGCCGCTACCTTTTTTTTTTAAAGGTATCTGTGACCAACAGATGCATATCTGTATTCCCAGTCATGTGAAATCCATAGATTAGGGCCTAATGAATTCATTTCAATTGACTGATTTCCTTATATGAACTTTAACTCAGTAAAATCTTTGAAATTGTTGCATGTTGCGTTTATATTTTTGTTCAGTATAGTTATCAATCTTTGGTTATCTCTAGCTGTCAAACAGTAATGTTAGTTAGCTAGCTCGCTCTGGGTGGGCGTGTAGCTCTCCTGTAGTAATAGACAAGGTGACTCACACACAAACATCTCATACACACACATACTCCTGTACTCACACTGATTGTACATAAAATTAGGAACACCTTGCTAATATTGAGTTGCGCCCCCCCCCCCCCCCAAATTGTAGAATAATAGTGAAGACATCAAAACTATGAAATAACACATATGGAATCATGTAGTAACCAAAGAAAGTGTTAAACAAATTTCAGATTCTTCAAATAGCCACCCTTTTCCTTGACGACAGCTTTGCACACTCTTGCCATATACACACACTACCAGACTCTCAAACACAGCCAACGTTGCGAGAAGGGGTTAGCTGCAACTCAATATGGCGACCAGAGTATGGGCGAGTGGGTGTGTCGAAAGGAAAGGAGTGGGTGTGTAGAAAGGAGTGGGTGTGACGAAAGCACTCTGCTATAGGTTAGATGGTTTTGATTGAGCTGTGTTTTTTTCTTTCGTTGATTATCACGCCACTACTGTACATTTGAGCTACCGAACGTGAGAGTTTGGACTTATTTAACTGTGTCGTATTTCACTGTTTTAAACAAATAATTTTACATTTTCAGTTATAAAACTGAAGATTGTTTATTTTTTATTAAAAGTATTGATGATGGGTGTACTGTTGCTTCATGCGTTGTATGTGTGTGCTTACTGTGACTGTCACCCTGATATTGGCTACTAGGTAGCTACTTCCAAAGCCGTTGCCGGACAGCAGTACTTGTCAAGTGGGAGCGAAGGGCACTGTGTCCCGGTGTTGTGGCTGTGTTTACTCCTCAGTAAAAGGCACATGACAGCCCGCTTTTGTTTCCCAAAAGGCACCTAAAGGACTCACAGACCATGAGAAACAAGATTCTCTGGTCTGATGAAACCAAGATTGAACTCTTTGGCCTGAATGCCAAGTGTCACGCCTGGAGGAAACCTGCCACCATCCCTACGGTGAAGCATGGTGGTGGTAGGATCATGCTGTGGGGATGTTTTTCAGCGGCAGGGACTGGGAGACTAGTCAGGCTCGAGGGAAAGATGAACGGAGCAAAGTACAGAGAGATCCTTGATGAAAACCTGCTCCAGAGCGCTCAGAACCTCAGACTGGGGCCAAGGTGCACCTTCCAACAGGACAACGACCCTAAGCACACAGCCAAGACAACGCAGGAGTGGCTTCGGGACAAGTCTCTGAATGTCCTTGAGTGGCCCAGCCAGAGCCCGGACTTGAACCCGATCGAACATCTCTGGAGAGACCTGAAAATAGCTGTGCAGCGACGCTCCCCATACAAAATGACAGAGCTTGAGAGGATCTGCAGAGAAGAATGGGAGAAACTCCACAAATACAGGTGTGCCAAGCTTGTAGCGTCATACCCAAAAAGAATCGAGGCTGTAATCGCTGCCAAAGGTGCTTCAACAAAGTACTGAGTAAAGGGTCTGAATACTTATGTAAATGTTTTTGTATTTTATAAATGTGCAAACATTTCTAAAACACCTGTTTTTGCTTGTCATTATGGGGTAGTGTGTGTAGATTGATGAGGGGGGGAAACAATTTAATCCATTTTAGAATAAGGCTGTAACGTTACAAAACGTGGAAAACGTCAAGGGGTCTGAATACTTTCCGAATGCACTGTATGTATCAAGGTGACATCTAGATGGTTCTTAATATTATTATTTATTGTGTAGGCTGCTATCAAAGATATTTATAACTAACCCAAGATAGTTCATCTGTGTATTTTACAGTGGGAGCAAATTAAGGATAGTGGGCAGGTTAAGCAAGGAGGTGGGCAAAGCCATGCACAAGCTAGTGAGATCCTATTGGCATGTTATAGCATGTATTTGCATATTTCCGTTAGGGAACGCCTCCTCTGAAGTGCGCTTGTGCACAAACTCAATTCGACCGTGCACTCCTTCTAAACAACGCTTTTTTTTACTTTGGCAAAGCGTCAAGTCTATGAAACTTTATATACTGTGTTCGTAACGGATTCTAGTTTTGGGAACAGAAAAATGTATTGAGATAAGATGTTTCATCGATGAGAAATTTGCAGAATGTCGGCCCAGTTTCACCTAGTTCCATCCTCTCACTACCATATGTGGTGGTGAGAAAATGCTTCAGCTTTTTGACGCTTCAGCTTTAAAGCTGCTGTGACGTGTCTGGATTCCCCCTTCTGTCTGTGCTGCTATTTTACTTGAAATAAAAAATGGCCATGTTACCTACCGCCTGCGACACGACTGTGATACTCAGTAGGAAGCACCTCAGGTCGGCAGCAGTGTTCGGCAGGCACGTCGATACAACGCCACGCGAAACGGTCTTGAGTGGCAACACATCTGCCCAATTAGCCGATTCGCTTTCCATACACTCACTCCTTTCGACACACCCACTCGCCCATACTCCAGTTGCCATATTTGACTGCAGCTACCCATACTTGAGCGGGAAACACTCTTTTCATGCCACTTCAATACCGAAGTGACTTTTTCGTAGCAGGTTAGGAGAATTAACGTAGTAGGTTAGGAGACTGAGGTTAAGGTTAGGAAAAGAGTTAGGGGAAATGCTCTCCTAACCTGCTATGAAAATCACTTTGTATCAAAGTGGGCTGAAAAGAGTGTGTCCCATACTTGAACGCTGCTGTCCCATGTATATAAAGACATTAAACACTGGACTGTTTCTTTACTGTTTTTCACACTGTGTATTCATATACTGTATTCTTCACATAGCTCATTCTAATATACATTTACATTTTAGTCATTTAGCAGACGCTCTTATCCAGAGCGACTTACAGTTAGTGAATAATTTTTTTTATACTGGCCCCCCGTGGGAATCGAACCCACAACCCTGGCGTTGCAAACGCCATGCTCTATCAACTGAGCTACATCCCTGCCGGCCATTCCCTCCCCTACCCTGGACGACGCTGGGCCAATTGTGCGCCGCCCATGAGTCTCCCAGTCGCGGCCGGCTGCAACAGATCTCTAGTGGCACAGTTACCTCTGCGATGCAGTGCCTTAGACCACTGTGCCACTCAGGAGTACACTACTACTCAGGAGTACATCTACTACTGTACATTGCATTTTGTTAGCTACACTGTTTATACACTCGATTCTCGTCATGGCGCACTGTAATATATCTAATGCTGTAAGTTACATATCATTATTTGGAAATATATTTTTGGTTTAAATACGCATAGATTGCATTTTGATTACGATGACCACGTTTACATACACACCTATATCCCGTTATTATACGGGATACTCAAGTATTCTGTTTTTGAGTTGACGCATTTAAACATCATATCCTGTTTACAATTACCTCAGAAAGCTTGTATTGCAGTTATGACAAACCCGGATAAGGTGCCTGGGTATGCTGATTTTAGACGGGATACTGTGGCATGTAAACATCTTATCCCGTTTACTGTTGTTTTTGCAGTCTGCGTAGGCTCAGTTTCACATATCATGGGTGTTGTGTGATGTTTTAATCTGATTGTCAAACAAATTACATTTTCTCAAGAGATGCTTAAAGAAATATTTTCTCCACTCCTGTTCCCGAGTCAAAATTAACATTTGTTGTACCATTTTAAGAAATGCATAATTCTGCAAGAGTTCATATTATATTAAGTTACATGTGAAAGGTTATATGCCTACAGTCAGTGTCCATATATCAGTTACTATTCCATGTAATCCTTATGAATTTAAAGGAGGAATATTCTGTTTATTCATGGTTACAGGGATACTCTTGAGCGGGATATCAAAGGTGCATGAAAACTGCTTATCCAGAATAAGACCGTGATATGAGCTACTATCCAGAATACTGTGCCCATGTAAACGTGGTCAGTGTTATTTGGGGTTGTTAGCTAACTGTCTGGAGATGTTATTTGTATTATTTGTGTAGTTGTTTGACATTTTTTGTGCACTGTTAGGAACTAGTAACACAAGCATTTCGCTGCATCCACTATACTAGCTGCTAATGTGTACGGCAACGCGACCAATAAACTTTAATTTGGCTAGCCAGTTAACGTTAGCCAACTAGCCAACGACAGCTAACCAGCAGTAGTAACAACATGTCAACAAATGTTCCAGGAAAAATAGACCAGCACCAGGGTATAGCAACAACAACAAAAAAGATTTAAACAACAGCATCCCCACTCACCAGGCAAGTCAGTCCTTGCTCTGTTTTGTTATGCTGGTTCTTCTACTTCTGTCAAAAGTTAGCTAGCTAGCTTTGTTTACGCAGGTGTGCTTGAGACTTGCGCGGGCCTCCCTCTTTCGCTGTAGTGACGTTAACGGTGGTTCTGAAAAAAAACCTTGAAGCCAAGGTGCTACCGCCACCAAGCGGACTGGTAGACCAAAAGCGAATCAAGCTAAAATAGCGCTCAGGGAACGATAGTACAGTAGCAATGGTTTAGATTGGAAACTCTGTGGCTCAGGGTTCCATGTCTTTATCTGCAAACGGACTTCCCGACAATAGATCAAGTTGCGAAAAGATAGCCTTTTCGAAATATTATCAAGATGTCGTTGTTGGAATTTGAAGTTGGTAATCAACCATAAAATGTGTTTAAAAAGCGTACGTGTGATATGGTCATACAAGGAACGGGGACGAACTTCCCATAAAAGGTGTGTCCTGTTGGAACTGTAATTTCCAGTAAGCAATGCGGAGTTGTCAACACCACAGCTTTTTCTATTTGTGTAAAGTGACAAAGTATTGTTAACACTTTTTATTTAGTTTGTTCTTTAAAAGAACGAATGGCTACTTCCTCAAAATGATGATCTATCATTGTGAGGGTGAGTGACTTTCTATTTGCTATATCTGTATGTAATAAAAGGGAATCTAGTGGGAAAGTTAGGTCTGTAAACAAAAGCAACAACTGTAGACCCATAAAAACCATACTGTATTGATAATCACTTACTTCTTCATATTTAGGCTAACATGTAGCCTATTGTAATGTACAGGAATTTAAACACTAACAGGAATCATTTTCGCTTTCTGATTTCAGATTGAATTATACTGTGTGGTTTACTCTCGAGTACTCAGCAACAATGTTTCTATTGCTTATTATATTCACAAACCTTGGGACTTTGATAGCTGATGATGGTAAGCAGTCTTTTTTATATAGCCTATAAACATGTGAGTAGATTTAACCTCAGTATTTTGCCTGATCATGATTAACATTTGACAAGTTTATTTTATTTTTTATTACTTGTAGTAATGAGTGATGAAAATCTTCAATGCTTCAACGACAAAGACAAAAGTATGGTTTGTCATTTTACAACTGACAAGTCTAAGTGTGCTGAATACAACATGACATTGAAATTATTGGACCCACAAAAAAAGTACGTTTATGATTGTTTAAGGTTTTCTATTGTTGATGTTAATCTCACCAGGAAGTCATATTCCATTTCAAAATTGCATACTTATTTCCCAGGGTCTGGAATGATTGTACTTTCAAGGAAAAGGAGAGGTCCAATGGTGTTTCCAAATGTGGATGTTATATTCATCCAATGGTACTTGTTATTGGGGAGGAGTTTAATGCAACACTTTGGAATTCTGGGAAGCGCCTAAATTCCAAAGTAATCAGTATCAAAAGCAGCAGTGAGTTGCATCTACATATGCAGATTTCTATTTGCAAATTAATTACTGTTATAAAGAATATTGCATGAAATTAAAACATGCTTTCATTGATTGATATGTCAAACGATCCCTATCGTTGCCCTATACAGTAAAACCCAAAACCCCCACTGTCCAAGAGGTGAAACCAACAGAAAATGGGAATTTCCTGGTCAAATGGAAGACAAACTACCCTGATGATGCACTGTTTCCTAAGTACTTGATTGCCGAATTGAGCTACAGAAAGAAAGGAGAAACAGATGAGGTAAAGGAGGGTGATATGATAAAACCCTCATGTTACAGCATTCCCCCATTTGCTATCACATCACAAAGACAACTTTCCCTCTACCCCTTTCCTTTGTTCCTACAGGTGTCCAAAAATGACTCAACAACTTCCCATGAAATACTTGGCAGAGACTTGGAGCCAAACACCATTTATGCTCTGAAGGTCAGAACCTATACTGACTTTAGCGGCCGTTTCAGTGACTGGAGTGAAGAGTTGGAATTCACTAACCGTAAGTGATTAAAGGAGATTTATCATCCATGGGTTTTCAAACCTTAATTTCACTTTCACCTTGTAGCTCATTGTATACTCTTCTCTGCTCCACAGCTGCATCATCTCAGAAAGTGCTCCAGATTGTCATTGTTTTAAGTTGCATTACCGTTATCATCATCACAAGTGCTTTGTTTTGGTGCAGTGTTAGGTAAGTTGTCCTGACTTGTCTTTAGGTGATAGTACAGTGGGGAAAAAAATTATTTAGTTAGCCACCAATTGTGCAAGTTCTCCCACTTAAAAAGATGAGAGAGGCCTGTAATTTTCATCATAGGTACACGTCAACTATGACAGACAAAATGAGATTTTTTTTCTCCAGAAAATCACATTGTAGGATTTTTAATGAATTTATTTGCAAATTATGGTGGAAAATAAGTATTTGGTCAATAACAAAAGTTTCTCAATACTTTGTTATATACCCTTTGTTGGCAATGACACAGGTCAAACGTTTTCTGTAAGTCTTCACAAGGTTTTCACACACTGTTGCTTGTATTTTGGCCCATTCCTTCATGCAGATCTCCTCTAGAGCAGTGATGTTTTGGGGCTGTCGCTGGGCAACACAGACTTTCAACTTCCTCCAAAGATTTTCTATGGGGTTGAGATCTGGAGACTGGCTAGGCCACTCCAGGACCTTGAAATGCTTCTTACGAAGCCACTCCTTCGTTGCCCGGGCGGTGTGTTTGGGATCATTGTCATGCTGAAAGACCCAGCCACGTTTCATATTCAATGCCCTTGCTGATGGAAGGAGGTTTTCACTCAAAATCTCACGATACATGGCCCCATTCATTCTTTCCTTTACACGGATCAGTCGTCCTGGTCCCTTTGCAGAAAAACAGCCCCAAAGCATGATGTTTCCACCCCCATGCTTCACAGTAGGTATGGTGTTCTTTGGATGCAACTCAGCATTCTTTGTCCTCCAAACACGACGAGTTGAGTTTTTCCCAAAAAGTTATATTTTGGTTTCATCTGACCATATGACATTCTCCCAATCCTCTTCTGGATCATCCAAATGCACTCTAGCAAACTTCAGATGGGCCTGGACATGTACTGGCTTAAGCAGGGGGACACGTCTGGCACTGCAGGACTTGAGTCCCTGGCGGCGTAGTGTGTTACTGATGGTAGGCTTTGGTACTTTGGTCCCAGCTCTCTGCAGGTCATTCACTAGGTCCCCCCGTGTGGTTCTGGGATTTTTGCTCACCGTTCTTGTGATCATTTTGACCCCACGGGGTGAGATCTTGTGTGGAGCCCCAGATCGAGGGAGATTATCAGTGGTCTTGTATGTCTTCCATTTCCTAATAATTGCTCCCACAGTTGATTTCTTCAAACCAAGCTGCTTACCTATTGCAGATGCAGTCTTCCCAGCCTGGTGCAGGTCTACAATTTTGTTTCTGGTGTCCTTTGACAGCTCTTTGGTCTTGGCCATAGTGGAGTTTGGAGTGTGACTGTTTGAGGTTGTGGACAGGTGTCTTTTATACTGATAACAAGTTCAAACAGGTGCCATTAATACAGGTAACGAGTGGAGGACAGAGGAGCCTCTTAAAGAAGAAGTTACAGGTCTGTGAGAGCCAGAAATCTTGCTTGTTTGTAGGTGACCAAATACTTATTTCCACCATAATTCGCAAAGAAATTCATTAAAAATCCTACAATGTGATTTTCTGGAAATGTTTTTCTCAATTTGTCTGTCATAGTTGACGTGTACCTATGATGAAAATTACAGGCCTCTCTCATCTTTTTAAGTGGGAGAACATGCACAATTGGTGGCTGACTAAATACTTTTTTCCCCCACTGTATGTCTGTTTCCACAAACATTTGTTATCATACAGCTTCAAATTGGCCCTATAGGCTTTCAAATCCTCCTGTTTTCCCCCTCTGCAGACTCAAAACCAAGTTGTGGGATAATATTCCTAAATGTTCAAACTCAGAACTTTTGTATATGGTTCCAGGAATACATAAGGTGAGGCTCTATCTCCAAATATTATTTGTTTAAATAAACCTTCATTACTTTCCTACTGTAATTCCTTCCATTTGTGTATTTGCATTTAGTTATGTTTGTTCTCCACCACAGATATTGTCTCCTCCCAAAATACTTTTGTCCCCCATCTATGTTGATTCTTCAAAAATGGACATTGAAGGAAAAACATGGTGAGCATATTGATGCAATATAAACATAGCAAAATGTAAAGGTGTCTTCATGTTCAGTCCTATTCGCGTGGGCAGTCAAGTCCTTGCAATGAAAATAAGCTTTAATTCACTGTAAATTGCCCGCTTGTCTTTTCCCTACAGGACAAACCTCTCGATAGGGGATGGGAGCAGTGGAAGAGGCCAGCAGCAAGGCAATGGCTCAGAGCTTGACTCATCATCTTCCCTGGGCTATGCCCACACATGTTCCATGAGCCCGGAGACTAGTAATGTGCAGATCATTAGCCATCTTCAAGAGGCCCTGAGCAAAGTCTTTCCCAGCCTTGTTCCTTTGGACGGGAATCCTCAGTTATTGCTCTTGGCCCCTCCTATGACAGATGCTTGTACACAAATGAACTGCCCTGAGTCAAATAGAGACAGTGGTGTGTGTTCATCTGACTTCAATCGTCTTCATTTAATGAGTGAGTTTGGAGGCTCTCGTGGGTCGTCTTGTTACAACAATATTACCTACTCCCACTCAGTGCCCCTCAACTTCCTTCAAGAGTTAACAACAAGCGAGACATCCTCATTTCCTACACAGCCTCTGCTCTTTTGTAACTCCTTCTACCATACTGGTGAGGCTGAAGTGTTGAAAAATTGCCATCCACAGCTGTTTCTTGGTACTGGTCAACAAGACCTTAACTTGTCCACTAACTGTGCACCCCTCTTGCAAACCGACTTTTCATATCACCCATGTGATGGCGCCAGTGATGATTCAGAGACTACCACGTCAGCAGAGGACACCAGTCTGATCTACGGCTCTAATGACAGCAATGTTACCAGTGTCGTTGCTGGATATCAGAGCTTCAGTGAGGCGGTCGGTAAGTACAATGAGCGAGGGACTGATGCCTTCATGGACGTGCCACTGCCACTTAAGGGTTTCAAGGATGTGAATCCATGTTACCACAGCCTGCCAGACCCTGGATGCAGCCTCCCCCCGAGTGACGGCGATTATCAGGCTTTACAGAGCCTGGGACAAAATAGCCCAGATCAGTGGGTTTCAGGGCAGAGTGCTGAACAAGACAAACTGTTGAACAAGTGTCTGGAGACTGAGATCCCTCAAAACTCCATGGGGAACATGCCTCTAAATTTCATACCCAACTCACAGGGAGGACAATGTCCGATACTTGGAAGTCCCTTTCTTACTACTTTCTGTTCAGACCAAGCCATGCAATTAGACAATGACAGCTCTTATCATTGTGTGTGATGATACGGTAGACGCTTTTGCATTTCACTTTGCTATTTTTTTTATCTTGAGGAATTGAGCTCATAGATGTGTTTTTTCAATATCATACAAACGGTTTGAATACCATTCTGCCATGAAAATGCTGTAGCCTCAAGTCCAGAAATGGTCCACATGTTGCATGTACAGCTACTCTAAATAAACATTTGTGTGTGGGAAACTGCAACAGTTAATTGTTGAAGAGACATTGTGTGGATACATAACATGTCTTGTCTTTGCCTCGTCTGTCTGAGACATGTTGTTCATCATCTGGGATGAAAAAAAAAGGGATGTGTACGTCAGTTGAAATACTGAGGAATAACATCTAGATTACACATCAAGGTCGTCAAACTAGTCTCCAGCCTCTAAACGTTACTTATCTTCTAATGGCTTCTCAAAATAGTCAGACAGTTTCATTGCATCTGATGTTTGATAGGCTAAATAGTGTTAGCAGTACAACCCTCATGCAAACATGGAGGTTGAATTTCTGAAGAAAAAAGTGGTAGGCCTACTTCCTCATTGCGCTGTTCCTTCAAACACGTACGTTGCAGCTTCCATGGAAATACACACCCACAAAGTAGAGCCAGCCCCCTGATGTCATAGATGTGTTGAGCAATCAAAAATAGGGTTTGTTTAGGGTTATTTTCTGAGGATGAAGTTCATGTTTTATAGTGTTTATTGTAGTGTTCTTCGCTTAACTGGTGAAGCTTGAATAAAGATTACCTGACTAGTGACACACAGTGATGGTTTATCATGCAGAAAATTGTGAGGCATTTGCCACAGTTTAACCATCAATAATAGTATACGGTTGTAATGACTGAGGCATTCAGCATAATTTCTTTCACAGTTTGTGGCGGTTTTGTGACAGGCTGTTTTTGAACAAAGTCCAAGATAGAAGTGTGGTGACACCGGAGGGGATTGTGAAAGGCCATTTTCACAGAGCCACAGGTCTGCTATGCTTGTCATGCTTGTATTGAGCAAGCATGCAGGAAAGCATTGTGGCATTCACAGCTATGTCATACTTTGAATACTTTGGACAGGCAATGCAAGTGATGGAAATTACTTTTCACAGCCTTCATTGCAAAATTGAATTTTGTTGAGGATAAAGGTCAAAGGTCTTGAAAATGTGAATTTATTGACTTGTTCTGTCATGGGCACCACTTTCTGTCATTGCCATTTAATAGCTCAAATACCTAGGTACTTCTCTGTGTTAAAGGTATGTTAAACTTCAGTCCAGTTAGTGTTAGAAATACCAAGTGAGCACTTGTAGATTCCAATGGGTAATGTACATTTCAGGTCTTATACCACACGTCCTTCTTTATGTTTGTATGCAAAGGATCAAGTTGCGCAATTGACTAGAAAATGGCACGAAGGAAGAACACTTTAGGATTCTGATTATAATGCAATCAATACTCAATTACCTGTGAAGTACTGTGGGACCTCTGGTGCCCTTACTGCTTCAGTGCTTCTCTAAGGCTCAGCGTCCACCTCTATGATTTATGGGCCCTGCTCTTAAACCTTGCTTGGAAAACAAATGAACTGAAGTGATGTCACATCTTCCTGCCAGTGATCAACATTAAAATGTCCTTGTTAGAGGGAGAAAATATACATCACTTATAGGGAGTACTAACAGTTCAATCACTTTTATCCAGTTCCTTTTAGCTTTCTATCTAAATTGTTGCAAGTGTAATAAAATGTTTCACATAGATGCATTTTAAGGTGGGCATTTGTAATGGAAAATATTTTTGGCTGAAAGTCTGCATCACCTTTAGCAATATGTACCACACATTTACAATGACGTACAGTACCAGAAAGGACTTGCAATAGAAAACAGCACACGCAACCTATTGCATGGGAGGAAAAAAGAGAGGTGCATTATCATGAGGATGTAAATGTGTCTACACTTGGACTGAGTTAACATATCCGTTTCCTGTATCTAAAAAAAGGAGATCCGCAACAGTATAGGTGCTACCTGACAGTCTTTAAAAAGGAGTAGTTGCAATAGGAGTTGAATTAGAGTGCTTTTGATTGAATGATCAACGTTACTGTTTCCTCCACTCTAATCTAAATTGAGGCCTACAGTGGTATCTTAGCACCATCTTCTGAGCATTATTTGTATTGCATGTCGTTGTCCCACACAATAACCTCTGATTTTGAATGTGCAGTCTAGAACTTCAATTCCCAGTAAAAAAAAAGAAAAGAAAGTGTAGCGCGTGCCCCGTGATGTCTACCAACACAAACCGAAGAAGAGGTACAAGCAAACGCACTAGTTGGTGTAAATAAAAAAATCTGATTGTGTTTGTGCTTTCTTGTTGCCACCGAGGAAAGGAACTCATATTGCACCTTAATACTAGGTTACTTATACCTAATCCAAAAAGTTTAGAAGTTTACAATAGTAGACATTCGCTTTATTTATAACAGATACATTAACAGGCACTTAGTATTTATTTTTTATTTTTTAGTCATTTAGCAGACGCTCTTATCCAGAGCGACTTACAGTTAGATGTATGACTGAAAACACATTGATATGTAAAATGTAAGTAAAAGGATGCCATAAATGTTCATGCATATGGATGTATTTGTTAACTACTCTACTACTACTACTACTACTACTACATGCTATGCTCACTGAAAATAAGTTGTACAGTAATTGTATTATTACAGGGCTAAATTATTTCCTAAACATCACTGGCTAGCACTTGCAAGCTTTGGCATGGTGGATGTTGAGAATTACATATTTTCTCAAACTGTAAAATCATTCAATAAGCCTCAATATTTACATGTCTTGTGTTTCGTATGGATCTTACATTCTAATAAACATCTAAAAACAATTCCATCAAGATACGAAATGTATGACGTATAATCACACTACAACAGAATATGCAACAATGACAATTAAATAACAACCCTGAGAGCAATGCATAAAGACAGCTAATACATCAGGTGAGTGGTTACAACTTATATTACACATACACAATCCTATAGGAACCTCTCTGTAGTAAAAAAATTACATTTACTCATAATATTATTAGTGTGTTGTGCAAGATAAGTTAAAGCTAAGACAGTGAAGGTGCAAAGTATCTTTCCTGTTAAAAAAACCTAGAAATGTAAGTCTGACACACATGGCTGCCAGTGTTGAAATGACGGGTCCTAATATTCTTGTTGTAGGTCTACAGAGAAGTTCTGTATTCTTTCCACCATGAAGAAGCAGAGTGTTCCAATGAAGCCCAGGATGGCCATAAGGAGCAGTTGCCATGTCAACAGCAGGTAGCCACTGTAGAAAAAGGCCACTGCTGCAAAAATGGACTGGCAAAGGAATGAAGGAAACAGAAACATGTTGAAAGTAATACAAAGAGTTGACTTTGTGTTACTACTATGTTATAGTAATGTATTAATTGTATCTTAGATTGTGAGTTCTTACAGAATACTACTGTGATAAACTAATTGGTACATACAGCTATATAATAATAATGCATGTTTGTGTGGCTAAATAGACAGACACAATATGGCTTTCAATCGTCCTTCCCTCTAGTTATTCTTACAGTATAACCACACAAGGGATACATCGGCCTACATATACCTAAACAACAGCCATTCATTATTAATCAACTACACTGCAATGAACTACACCCAGCGCACCACAGTATCAGTTGCTGGTACATATGTTTTAGTAAATTATCAGCTGTATCAAGCTCTCTCGAGGGTTACCTGGATGAATTTGAAGATGGCAAAAGCAGGCGTGCTTTGCTCAGCATATACACGCCCCAAGATGCTGTACAGTTGAGTGTTGAAACAGCTGTCACCGAGTCCAAGCAGGAAACTACACAGCAGTGCGATGGAGATACTAGGAAACAGATAGGACACGCTCAACTGTGAGGGGGTTACAACAGGTCGTTTTCAACTGACATGAACAATATACAGCCCTGTTTTTATTATTTTGTTTTCTATTAAAACAATACCTTGGTGTCAGATATGGCTTGTTCAGTGTGCTAGTTTTTAAAACCACAGGGGCATCATCTGGGATGTTGAGGTAGATCAAGTAGAAGGCGATAAAATGGACGACCATCCCCAGGAAGACCACAGATGTCCGTCTGAAGCGGTTGTTCTTACATACTAGTCCAAAGATGCCTCCACCTGACAAATAACATCAGATTACTGTCAAACTAGTTCCTTGTTAGATAGTAACACCAACATAGAGTGATGGGTAAAAGTTACACTGGGCAACATAAACCTACCAACTATCTCTCCAATCCCCACCACGATTCCAGAGATCCCAATCAAGCCTTTAGCTGCCGCTCCAAACTCTGTTGTTGCCCCGATACATGTCCCATACACACCACTATAGAAAGCCAGCTCCAAACCTACGATGACAACACACTGCTAAAAACACTATTCCCCTGACATAAATGGATGGACTTTTGGTTGTGCAGTACAATCTACTTACCACTGTATGCCATGCAACAGCTCAGGAGCAATATGGTTTTGGTTTTGAGCAGTTGCAGGATTGTCTCTGAAGAGAAGGAAACACACAAGGAATTGCTTTGGATGACTAACAGGATAGTAAACAGTGAAACAACATAAATGAGGTAACAGATGTGTCCTTTAACCCTAAGGAATAGATCAATGATTGATTGTATAATAACACATGAGCCTGTGAAGCTACATTAACTTACTGAATTCTGACTTTGCATCTTGTACTGCAAAGTTGGCTCTTTGCTTATACCTGCAAAACATTAAGAGGGAAAATGATCAAATTAGCAAGACAAATTAGACATTATTTTCGATACTGTGATACTCAAATTCTTAGCAGAATGAATAAACCACCATTTAAAACAGAGACACCAACGCAGTGCCATCGCTTCCCATTGGAATAAGGGTTACAGTGAGAGAGTACTGTCAATAAATTAGGAAATTAACTAACATCATGTGAGTTGAGAGCAAAGGCTGGCCCTCCTCCTCGTTGAGCATCTCCTCCTCTGGTGGAATAGTCTTTCTCAGAGCCAGGAAGCTGAGTGTTCCCAGCACTGAGGTGACCAGCAGACCTATAAAGATAGTCTTTCTGCTCCTATCTGAGAGGGACATCAATAACAAAGAATAAAGTATCAAACAGAGAACACACTAAGTAGGGCAACAATATTGGAAGGACGCATGAGTCATATCCTAAATGAAAACAAAGATGCAATTGCAAGTTTTCATTAATGTTAGCTCTATTTTATCCATATTTTCCCATTGGATGATCTTCACATGCACATACCTGAGATTTCTGTACTTCCATTCCAATCGAAATAAATGTAAAGATTGCCAAATAACATGCTGAAAAAGAAAACAACGTGTTACGATTACACCTTCTGCTCTAGGCCACCAAATAATGGAAATGACTGCCATTATTATGTAGTCTACCGTTAATATATACTATTAATATACCTGCACTGTAAAAGGGCCCAAAACATCCCTGTGTTCCTATTGATGGTGGAAGCATCAGAGTTCTCCACAAGGAAGTGTCCTTGAGCTGTCCAAAGCACTGATGAAAGGGATACATTATGATTAGGAACTGCAGATGTAATGAATAGAGATGGTTGCTATTTAATGACATTTGAATTGATCAAAATGCAGTATCGGGGATCTATTCAGGGTAAATATGTGTCTCTTTTATTTGTCACAAACTAACATTATCAAACAACTCGGTTCATCTGAATTTGTGCCCTAAGAATTCTCATTTAGGTCTCCCATTTGTAAAATGTTTGCTTTGCTTGCGATCAGAGATAATGAACATAACCCCGGCATTTCCCTTTGATGTAAGTCATTAACAAGCTCCATTTCAGACATCATAACCATGTTAACCTTTGTCCAATGCTCAGCAACTGACAAGACACTCAATACGCTTTACCATGCATGCAGGTCATGTGCTCCTTCTGGATTTGATCTGCCGTACTCATATTGATAACTGTTTATAATACTGTGTAATTACTATCATTTTTACATTTACATTTACATTTTAGTCATTTAGCAGACGCCCTTATCCAGAGCGACTTACAGTGAGTGAATAAATTTTTTTAATTTTTTATACTGGCCCCCCGTGGGAATCGAACCCACAACCCTGGCGTTGCAAACGCCATGCTCTATCAACTGAGCTACATCCCTGCCGGCCATTCCCTCCCCTACCCTGGACGACGCTGGGCCAATTGTGCGCCGCCCATGAGTCTCCCGGTCGCGGCCGGCTGCGACAGAGCCTGGATCGCATTTGATGTACTTACAATTTACAAATCATTATTCCGACAGCAAAAAATGGGTACAATTCAGTTTACAAATGTGTTAAGAATGAATGGCATGCGTAAGAGAATAGTAGACTCCAGAGCCACGTAGAGAATTTTGGATTGGATTAGGAATATGCACAAAGAGGTGAAACATACACTACATGACCAAAAGTATGTGGACACCTGCTTGTCGAACCTCTCATTCCAAAATCATGGAGTTGGTCCCCCCTTTGCTGCTATAACAGCCTCCACTCTTCTGGGAAGGCTTTCCACTAGATGTTGGAACATTGCTGCGGGGACTTGCTTCCATTCAGCCACAAGAGCATTAGTGAGGTCGGGCACTGATGTTGGGCGCGATTAGGCCTGGCTCGCAGTCAGTGTGCCAATTCATCCCAAAGGTGTTCGTTGGGGTTGAGGTCAGGGCTCTGTGCAGGCCAGTCAAGTTCTTCCACACCGATCTCATCAAACCATTTCTATATGGACCTCACTTTGTGCCCAGGGGCATTGTCATGCTGAAACAGGAAAGGACCTTCCCCAAACTGTTGCCACAAAGTTGGAAGCACAGATTTGTCTAGAATGTCATTGTATGCTGTAGCATTAATATTTCCCTTCAACTAAAGGGTCTAGCCCGAACCATGAAAAACAGCCCCAGACCATTATTCCTCCTCCACCTAACTTTACAGTTGGCACGATGCATTCGGGCAGGTAGTGTTCTCCCGGCATCCGCCAAACCCAGATTTGTCCGTCAGACTGCCAGATTGTGAAGCGTGATTAATCACTCCAGAGAACGCGTTTCCACTGCTCCAGAGTCAAATGGCGGTGAGCTTTACACCACTCCAGCCAACACTTGGCATTGCACTCGGCCATGGAAACCCATTTCATGAAGCTCCCGACAAACAGTTATTGTGCTGACGTTGCTACCAGAGTTTGGAACTCGGTAGTGAGTGTTGCAACTGAGGACAGATGATTTTTACGCGCTACGTGCTTCAGCACTCGGCGGTCCCATTCTGTGAGCTTGTGTGTCCTACCACTTCACGGCTGAGCCGTTGTTGCTCCTAGACGTTTCCACTTCACAAAAACAGCACTTACAGTTGACATGGGCAGCTCGAGCAGGGCAGACATTTTACGAACTGACTTGTTGGAAAGGTGGCATCCTATGACGGTGCCACGTTGAAAGTAACTGAGCTCTTCAGTAAGGCCATTCTACTGCCAATGTTTGTCTATGGAGACTGCATGGCTGTGTGCTCGATTTTATACACCTGTAAGCAATGGGTGTGGATGAAATAGCTGAATCCACTAATTTGAAGGGGTGTCCACATACTTTTGTATATTACTTTATACCAAACTGTCATGTAAATCATGACAGTTCAATGTAAAAACATATTTGTACCAATATGTAATGATGTGAGTGATTCTGTAGTCAGGGAATGTTAACCAGATAGCAGAGGGAACAAAGGAGAGATCCCAAGAAACCAGACTTACTGGCTGCTCCAATGCCGATTACTACTGAGGTGAAGTAAAAGGACCATGTTGATGGGGTGATGAATACAGCTACGTAACCACTATGGAAAATAATGGAACCATAACAAACAGCAGCACATGACCTTGTTATAACTAGACAACTACTTCAGAAATATCAATCAACTACTGATCTGCAAATAGAAAATGATTGGGGGGGGATCATTCCTTTAGAATTCTTGATACTCACCTGTAAAGAATTCCACTGAAAAACATTGTAAACTGTGGTCCAATTATTGCAACAACAGTTGGAGCTAACAAATTTGAAAAGGAAAACATTCCATAGATGATTCCAAGGCTGTTGTACAAGGACAGAAAGAAAACAGTACAGAGACAAGTTTAGTGTCTGGTATAAGGGTCAATGATTCTGAAAGATGCACATTTCTCCCCACACTTATTTTGCTGGGATAATGTGGTTTTCCAATATTTAGCCTATGGTAACACCATCCAACTCACCTGTGATAACCACTTCCAGTGAAGGTGTCATTGTCCAGGCTTTTAACTATGGTTTGCTTTAAAATAGAGGAGAAATGGGATATTAATGTGAAGCATAAGAACATAGAAAATATGTTCTCAAATATTGTTGCCACCACTACCAATGTGCTCTGTGGATATTGACCTTTACATGTATTAATTTGAGTAATTCCTTTGGACATGACAATCTATTGACCAATGAAGAAATTGGAAACACAAGATGTGCCTGAACCCAGGACTCCTCCAACAATGCACCACTGACAAGGCAGCTGAGGACATCATGTGAGCTGGAAGATGCACTGGAAAATAAACTGATGCAATTTATCATGGAGTAAAAGTTCTTAAACTTGAGAGACAAAGGCAATGGACTTGAAAAAAGCGAAGCATGACTGCAAAATGACAACAATTCAAATAAAATCAAATGTTATTGGTCGCATTCACATATTTAGCAGATGTTTTTGCGGGTGTAGCGAAATGCTTGTGTTCCTATTTCCAGCAGTGCAGTAATATCTAACAATACACACATATCTAAAAGTAAAAGAATGGAATTACGAAATATATAAATATTGATGTACCATGAATGATAAACAATGACGACATGTCTAATGTAAAAATTTTTAAAGAAATCAGATATCAAAAAGCTACCAACTTCAGATAGCAGTTATCAATGGTTAACTGTCCATTGTCTCAAGTGAACTTGACTATTTAGCAAAACAAACAACTGATCAGTCAATAGATTACAAACATGTCAAATGACAACATATATTATATTTCTGATTAATTAGAGTATGTAGCCTACATGACATGTAATTTGAAGGGGAGAGGTCAAACAGCTGTCAACTTCAGATAAATTAGCTAGCTAGGAAGTTGCTAATATCTGAAATATTAATGGGTAGGTGTGAATTTTCTCCAGTGATAATGACTCTAGCAAACAAAACATATTACCAGTCAATATAGTTTGCCTAGGTAACGACTTCAGCTGAGGTTACACAAGTGAAAGTGTGTCCTTTGACTTACTTCAATGTTTCCACACGTGGTGAAGGCAGTGAAAATGAACAGAAATCCTAGTCCCAGAATGACAACGTTGTAAATCCTAAGGTCTGCCATGATTATATTATTCGTGCACCACCTCTTGGTAGATGTCCCAGGTCGCTACATTCATTGCACTCAATGCAATGAGATAAGATTTTTCCAACAGTTACACTTCTTGCGTCGACCAGACATTTCTGAGATGGCTAAGCAAATACAAAAAGCATAGAATCTAGGAGACCCCACGCCTCTGCTGGACATGCACTTTTCGGCTACTCTTCTTCAAAAGTCCATATGGTAACTTTTCTTCCGCACGCTCTCTCTGTCAATAAATTCTAAGCACGAGCCAATTTAGCATAACCCTACCATTAGCACATTTGGTAGATTGTTGTAGTAGGCTATGTATCTAATCGCTAGCTAGCTAGCGAAGTTTCTCGTGATTGCACACAATACAACCAAGCTGTATGTCGTTGTTGTTGGGACGACAAATGCCAAATGACTTTCATTAGAAACCAAGCCAACAGTTGAGATTTATCAAACGCTTTACAGGCTATGGAAGCCCCGTAGGGCCAATACACGTCAGCGCGTACGTTTCCCAGCAGTCTCACTTCATATTGTACACAATCATCATGGCGACCCAGGATGGTGGGTATTGACAAAATATAATGTTATGCTTTCCCAAATGTCTATGCGGTGCAATTGATCAATTTTCAATTAATTATCTTAGGCATTTAATCGTCTTTCTGGTGTTAGTGCAAATTGAACATGTCAATGGGATTTGAAATCATATTTTCTTCATAATCCAATGTTCGCCCGGTTATCCTGGTCACTGGCTAGCTGCTAGCCAACCATATTTAGCTAGCTAACGTTAGCACTTTCGATTTTGTTACAGAGCCAAAATAACTAGAGCTATGGTTACATAATTTGATTCTAAAAACCTATGACAAATGTAATAAGTGTAGCTATCTCTATGTTCTCATGTAGCTATCATTAGCTATATTAGGTATTTATAAGCTAGTAAGTTATGTTAACTAGCTAGCCAACTCTATCTGACTGCAGATGTAGCTTGGATGTGTCAGCTAACTAAGCTAGCATGACTATGTAGCTAGCAAGTTAGCGCTGTTTGCAAATAAGCTACAGTAACTCGCTAACAGCCACGTGAGATGTCAGACTTGGCTAACGTGGCTAAACGACCCACAGAATACCAAATAGGTCACCAAGTCAGTTGCTTGCAGCTGCTTTGTCATAACAAACAACGAACTGCATGAAGCCATACTTGCTAGCTGTTACTTGGCTGAGAAGACCTAATGTGACAAACTTTTCCCAGACATTGAGTTTTGACATAGCTGTGCCTGGCTGGGAATTCTTGTGGATTTGAGAATTCTCAGCTAAAATGTGCCTTTCTTAATCCTTTCGTAGGAAGTGAAGAAGTCGTAATGGAAACTGAAGCCACGTTGAAAGAGCCACAACAACTGTGTGAAAATGTTGGCAAAGGGAATGCTGAAGTATCGGAAACTGTGTCTCGGACAGATGATGCCGGGGAAAGCTCTTCAAATCAGGACCCTACTGTCAGCAATGGAGATGACAGTGATGAAGGAAAGGAGATGGTGGATCTAAAGATTATTTGGAACAAGAATAAGTATGATCTCAAAATTCCTTTAGATGGCACTGGAGCCAAACTGAAAGAGCGGATCCATTCACTCACTGGTAAGTAGTTATTTAGGCTTGCGTACTAACTACTTGGATACGTATAACAGTCACTGTTTATTTATGCATCTCTCCCACGCTCTCTTTTTCTCTCATATGTTAATAGGTCTTCCACCTGCTATGCAGAAAGTAATGTACAAGGGACTGCTACCAGAAGATAAGACGCTACGTGAAATTAAAGTTACAAATGGTGCAAAAATAATGGTGGTGGGATCTACAATAAATGATGTACTAGCTGTAAATACTCCAAAAGAGGTTATTCAGCAGGAAGTTAAAGCTGAAGAAAACAAAAAGGAACCTTTGTGTCGGCAAAAAGTAGGACTTTTCAACGTCTTTTGATTTCCATATTTGTAAATAAACAACAGCTTTTTTGCCCAAGGTATGGTCACAGGTTATTATATTTTTTATTCAACTGTGAACTTAAAATAATAATATATTGAATTTCAGCAACACAGAAAGGTGTTGGACAAAGGCAAACCAGAGGACATAATGCCATCTGTTAAAGGAACAAAGGTGAGTATTTTCAACCCCCCTCCCCCCCCCCCCCTCCCCTTGCCCTCAGAACAGCCTCAATTCTTCAGGGAAGTCAGGAACCAATATACACAATCAGTTAGGAAAGCAAAGGCTAGCTTTTTCAAACAGAAATGTGCATCCTGTAGCACTAACTCCAAAAAGTTTTGGGACACTGTAAAGTCCATGGAAAATAAGAGCACCTCCTCCCAACTGCCCACTGCAGTTGGCTAGGAAACACGGTCACCACCGATAAATCTACAATAATCGAGAATTTCAACAAGCATTTTGCTACGGCTGGCCATGCTTTCCACCTGGCTACCACTACCCCGGCCACCAGCTCTGCACCCTCCGCTGCAACTTGCCCATGCCCCCACCGCTTCTCCTTCACCCAAATGTAGATAGCTGATGTTCTGAAAGAGCTGAAAAATCTGGACCCCTACAAATCAGCTGGGCTAGACAATCTGGACCCTTTCTTTCTAAAATTAGCCGACGAAATTGTCGCAACCCCTATTACTAGCCTTCGTAACTTCTGAGATCCCCAGAGATTGGAAAGCTGCCGCGGTCATCCCCCTCTTCAAAGGGGTGACACTCTAGATCGAAACTGTTACCGACCTATATCCATCCTACCCTGCCTTTCGAAAGTATTTGAAAGCCAAGTTAACAAACAGATCACCGACCATTTCGAATCCCACCGTACCTTCTCCGTTATGCAATCCGGTTTCCGAGCTGGTCATGGGTGCACCTCAGCCACGCTCTAGGTCCTAAATGATATTATAACCGCGATCGATAAAAGACAGTACTGCGCAGCCGTCTTCATCGACCTGGCCAAGGCTTTCGACTCTGTCAACCACCGCATTCTTATTGGCAGACTAAATAGCCTTGGTTTCACAAATGACTGCCTCGCCTGGTTCACCAACTACTTCTCAGATAGAGTTCAATGTGTCAAATCGGAGGGCCTGTTGTCTGGACCTCTGGCCGTCTCTATGGGGCTGCCACAGGGTTCAAGTCTCGGGCCGACTATTCTCTGTGTATATCAATGATGTCGCTCTTGCTGCTGGTGACGCTCGCATCCACCTCTATGCGGAATACACCATTTTGTATACATCTGGCCCTTCATTGGACACTGTGTTAACAAACCTCCAAACGAGCTTCAACGCCATACAACACTCCTTCCGTAGCCTCCAACTGCTCTTAAACACTAGTAAAACTAAATGCATGCTCTTCAACCAAACGCTGCTTGCACCCGCCCACCCGACTAGAATCACTACTCTCGGCGGGTCTGACCTAGAGTATGTGAACAACTACAAATACCTAGGTGTCTGGTTACACTGTAAACTCTCCTTCCAGACTCACATTAAGCATCTCCAATCAAAAGTTAGATCTAGAATCGGCTTCCTATTTCGCAACAAAGCCTCCTTCACTCATGCTGCCAAACATGCCCTCGTAAAACTGACTATCCTACCGATCCTTGACTTCGGCGATGTCATTTACAAAATAGCCTCCAACACTCTACTCAGCAAATTGGATGTAGTCTATCACAGTGCCATCCGTTTTGTCACCAAAGGCCCATATACTACCCACCATTGTGACCTGTACGGTCTTGTTGGCTGGCCCTCACTACATATTCGTCGCCAAACCCACTGGCTCCAGGTCATCTATAAATCACTGCTAGGCAAATCCCCATCTTATCTTAGCTCCAGCAGGTATATCTCACTGGTCATCCCCAAAGCCAACACCTTTGGCTGCCATTCCTTCCAGTTCTCTGCTGCCAATGACTGGAACGAACTGCAAAAATCTCTGAAGCTGGAGACTTATCTCCCTCACTAACTTTAAGCGTCAGTTGTCAGTGCAGCTTACCGATCACTGCACCTGTACACAGCCATTCTGAAATTAGCCCACCCAACTACCTCATCCCCATATTGTTATTTATTTTGCTAATTTGCACCCCAGTATCTCTATTTGCACATAATCTTTTGCACATCTATCATTCCAGTGTTAATACGAAATTGTAACTATTTTGCACTATGGCCTATTTATTGCCTTACCTCCATAACTTGCTACATTTGCACACACTATATATAGATTTTCTGTGGTATTTTTTACTTTTATGTTTTGTTTTACCCCATATGTAACTCTGTGTTGTTTTTATCGCAGTTGTAAATGAGAACTTGTTCTCAACTGGCTTACCTGGTTAAATTAAGGTGAAATAAAATAAAATAAAAAATCCTTGGGGCATGGACTCTGAGGTGTTCACAGGGATGCTGGCCCATGTTGACTCCAATGATTCCCACAGTTGTGTCAAGTTGGCTGGATGTCCTTTGGGTAGTGGAACATTCTTGATACACACAGGAAACTGAGCGTGAAAACCCCAGCTGTGTTGCAGTTCTTTACACAAACCGGTGCGCCTGGCACCTACTACCAGACCCTGTTCAAAGGCACTTAAATATTTTGTCTTGCCCATTCACCCTCTGAATGGCACACATACACTATCCATTTCTCAATTGTCTCAAGGCTTCAAAATCCTTCTTTAACCTGTCTATTCCCCTTCATCTACACTGATTTGAAGTGGATTTAACAAGTGACATCAATAAGGGATCATAGCGTTCACCTGGTCAATCTATGTCATGGGAAGAGCATGTTTTGAAAGAGCATTTTTCTCACAGATATTTCAACTGGAACACTGTATCGCTGTCAGGAGCTTGGAGATGGGTTGTTGTGAATGACTTTCTTGTTCTTCCGCTAATGACCAGCAAGTGATCTCTCATTTGTTACACAGGAACGCTTACCAACAGTGCCTTTAGCCGGAATGTACAACAAATCTGGTGGAAAAGTTCGGCTCACCTTCAAACTGGAACAAGATCAACTGTGGATTGGAACTAAGGGTGAGATGGCCCCCTGGTTTGGTTGGATCGTGTGTAAGGAAAAAGTGTTATGGCGCTCACTCTTATCTGTGTATATTCTTTCCTACAGAGAGGACAGAGAAAATCCCTATGGGCTCCATCAAACATGTGGTGACTGAACCCATTGAAGGTCATGAGGATTATCACATGATGGTAACACGTTTCCTTACTACAAACTGCACAAGCCAGATTGACAGTTGATGTAATGTATGTTTTTTCCCATAAACACATACATTACTTTGTGTATTTTGTCAAAAGTAGCTATCTTAATATCATTTATGGTGCAATAATTTTTCTCATTCACTTTCCTAGGCATTTCAGTTGGGTCCAACAGAAGCCTCTCAGTATTGGGTCTACTGGGTGCCAATTCAGTTTGTTGATGCAATCAAAGACACAGTCCTTGGAAAGTGGCAGTATTTCTAATGTGCCTCTATTATTGACATTGAAGAACTGCGATCTAGAACAGGAACAAATGAAAATGGGGATCTGGAGACAAGGAGTCCTAAGGAACTTAACATTGAAGCATATTAGAGAAGCAAACTGAAGGATGCCTATGGACTAATCATATTATTTTGGGTTTCAAGTGCACTATGAGGCAGCATCATATTCCTCAGCCCAGTTCATCATTCATTTTTTTGAGCAAACCCAAGGGAAAACAATAAAACTAAATGTACAGAGATTGCGGATGCATTTCTCACAGTTATTCTTAAAGTAATAAAATGTATTTAAGGAAAAGAAAGCTGCACTAGGACATTTGAATGTGGTAGCCTATGTTGTATTTATTCTATGGATCAACACAAGCAAACTTGCCAAAGTTGAATCCGGTTTCTAATGGTCTCAAGATATTGGTTTACCTGTAGTCATGATAAATGTTCATGGTAACAGAAAAAATTGAAAGATCTAATGGAATTTATGGTGATTCCTTCAGCAGTAGTAGTAAGCAACTTACTCGTGTAAGTTTTGCTATTTACAATCATTATTTAGAGTATTTCTGTTGATTATTTAAAAAGAAGGGTGGGTGTTTGGGGATGGGCGCTGTGGTATTGTGTGGAATAGTCTCACAGATGATTCAGAGCATGTTTCTATTCAGCATCAGGCCAGACATTGAGCATTGCGGCAATCCAGTGTCATGGTGTCATGAGACCTCTGTCACATGCAAAGGGATTTGGTTAGTATAATCACATGGTTTAGATTAGCGATGGGCAACTGATGGGGGCCATAACAAATCTGAACTCATCATGAGGGGCCGCAGTTGCTTGCGAACCCCCCCCCCCCCCCATCACATTAATCACATTAGCAGCCTCCCTCTTGACAGCGGATATAATGTTTTTTTGTTGCTATAGATTTAATTTCGTGCAATTCTACACATTTTGCCATGGGGTATAGAGGAAAATCCTGTAATTCTACACTTTTTGCCATAAGGTGGACAGAGAGAAAAGTTTGCAGTTTTTAATATATCTGAGTGAGACTGACTAACAAAATCAATGGGGGCCCCCTGGACGGTAATTCGACCATGATTACTAAATTTAGATACTGTAGCTGGCCGCAATACTTAATTTACCAATCTAAAAAATTTAAGCTGACATGGGCTATTTGAGTGACTATCAGTGACTGACATAAGAGAAAAACTGCTTATGCACAACCACGTTTTGAAATTGCACCTTGTGTATTCTACTATTCTAACTTGCAACAGTAAGTTGAGACCCCCATTGAGTTAAAAATTAAAAATAAATTTGATCCGAGGGCCCATCCCTGGTTAAGATGCACTCTGCTGTTCCTACAGCAGAGGGCCACAATGTCACACTTTTACATTTCTTGTTCATAGCAATATCAACTGGCGTGGGTATAATTTTTCAGAAATGCATTTTCTGAAATGTATTTAGTAACACAAAGAAATAGGCCTTAATGTATTTATATACAGATAAGAACCAGTAACTGCAACATTCATATACATTGTTTTATTTAATTGAAAGTATTTAATAAATATACAAACACATTTCCATAGCCTAACAATGTATTTATTTTCCAAATCTGCAAAAGAAATACAGACACTTTAAAAGCAAAGAACTGAAATAAGTTGTTCGGGACTGATGTACTGATATTGAATGGTTATAGCTTTGCCAGTAATAAGGTCATCAACTGAGGTCGATACTGAACTAAACGTCAATTAAGCAACCAGCTTATAAGAACATGTCAGTGTTGTCTGGCTTTAAAAAAAAAAGATACTTTTGGAACCATTTCTTGGAATTGTCAGAGAACCATCAATTTAAACATTGTACTTGACATACTTACAATTATGATGGTTATAATGATAATATTACAATGATTACAGTTGTTATAATAATACCTCAGCTTCCAGTCTATAAATATAAAGTAATTTGTACTGACATTGACATGGCTAGAGAAAGACCTGACCTTTGAGCCAGATGGCTCCAAGTGTCCAGTAAAGATCATCACCCTTTGGTATACTCTGTTACTTTAGTGACATTTTGCTGGCCGCTCAATGGGTTATTATTAATCCTTGGTTGTATCTCTTCAGACCTTATTAATGTAAAAATTCACATTTTTAGTCATTTAGCAGACACTCTTATCCAGAGCGACTTACAGTTAGTGAGTGCAAACATTCTTTTTTTTTTTTTTTTTTTTTTCATACTGGCCCCCCGTGGGAATCGAACCCACAACCCTGGCGTTGCAAATGCCATACCAACTGAGCTACATCCCTGCCGGCCATTCCCTCCCCTACACTGGACGAATTGTGCGCCACCCCATGGGTCTGTTGGAGGCGGTTTATGGCAGAAAAATAAACATAACATTCTCTGGCAACAGCTCTGGTGGACATTTCTGCAGTCAGCTCCCTCAAAACATTAGACATCTGTGGCATTGTGTTGTGTGACAAAACTGCACATTTTAGAGTGGCCTTTTAATGTCCCCAGCACAAGGTGCACCTGTGTAATGATCATACTGTTTAATCAGCTTCTTGATATGCCACACCTATCAGGTGGATGGATTATCTTGGCAAAGGAGAAATGCTTACTAACAGGGATGTAAACAAATTTGTGCACAAAATTTGAGAGAAATAAGCTTCTTGTGTGTATGGAAATTTCTGAGATCTTTTATTTCAGCTCATGAAACATGGGACCAACACTTCACATGTTGTGTTTATATATTTTTTCAGTGTAGTTAAGAAATGTCCCCAAACCACTACAGGCAGCAGTGTTAGCAGCACTTATTCGACAATCAATGTTTGCCTAACTACACTCTAAAAATAAAAGGTTCCTGGAGTATCCTTTAGGGGTTCTTCAAATTGAAACTGTGGGGGAACCCCTATAAGTTATTTGAAGAAACCTTTTAGGGCTCTTCAATTAACCCCTTTTAATGGATCCTTGATTAACCTTTTGAAGAACCTTGTCGGGTACATTTTTTAACTACACCCCCCTCGCCTATTATTATTATTATTATTATTAATAATACGCATAACAACAAAAACACACTATTTTAGTTTATTATGATTTTAGTGGCAAAGCAGAGTAAAGAAATCAAAATATGAGGTAAACTCCCAGCAGAGCCCCAAGTATAATGGGTATATCCTCTGGCGTGTTGATGGTAATGTGTTGATGTTCTCCATATCCATAGCCAGAATGATTGTGCAATGCATTGTGTCGTGACGTGACTCTCATTATTGTGATGACTATTATTTATCGAATAATTACCTACTATGTTTAATTGTCACTAGATTAAATTAATCATGTAACAATTAACTCATTAGGAATTTGGGGCACCACAGGAAAAGTTGTTTAACGAGTTACCGTTTCCCGAATTAACTCTAAAGATATCTAGATATCTCTTGTCGTTTAACAGTCATTTATTAGTCATTTACCTCATATTAGTCTCATTCAGAAAGTCGTAGGCTCTTTAAGTCTGCACGAACCCGAGTCTTACTGATCATACCACACAAATTGATTTAATTATGTGTATTCCGCTACGCGTGCCGAGCATGTGTCCCTGGTTTGCAAAGTGCTGGCCTGACGGTTGGAAAATGACCTTTATTCCAAGACCTGCCGCCTCCTTCCTCTGCCCGGTCTCCCCACGGCCCTGCAGTCTGCGTAGGCCCTGTTTACACACGTCTTCCAGCACTACGGGGTACCAGAGGACATAGTGTCTGACCGGGGTCCCCAGGTCACGTCCAAGGTCTGGAAGGCATTCATGGAACGTCTGGGGGTCTCGGTCAGCCTGACCTCTGGTTTCCACCCCGAGTCTAATGGGCAGGTGGAACGGGTAAATCAGAACCGGCCGGGGGAGTGGTCAGTGTTCTTGCCATGGGCCGAATATGCCCAGAACTCTCTCCGTCACTCCTCCACTAACCTAACGCCATTCCAATGTGTTTTAGGTTAGCAACCGGTTCTAGCACTGTGGCACCAGAGCCAGACCAAGGCTCCAGCGGTGGATGACTGGTTTTGGCGCACAGAGGAGACGTGGAACGCTGCTCACGTCCACCTCCAACGCGCCATGCGTCGTCAGAAGGCCAACGCTGACCGCCACCTCAGTGAGGCCCCGGTCTTCGTTCCGGGTGATCAGGTCTGGCTCTCGACCCGGAATCTGCCTCTCCGCCTGCCCTGCCAGAAACTGAGCCCGCGGTTTGTGGGGCCATTCAAAGTCCTGAGGAGGATCAACGAGGTTACCTATAGGTTATTACTCCCCCATGATTATCATGATAACACAAGATACGTACACGGTATAGGTAGGGATTAGAAACTTAATACAATGAAAATGGGTCCCTAGCGGACTAACACAATATGACACTTGTACAAAAGATGGCGAGTTAGAGAGAGCGAGAGAGAGACAGAGAGAGAGAGAGAGAGAGAAAACACTTGGATACACATGGACCTATGCTCACAGTAATCCTAATACTTTGCCCCGAACTGCCGCCCGTTTGGGAAGAAAAGCAATGCATGTATTTATGTACATGTTGGAGGTCTTCGTCGTGTATCTCTGTTGGACCCAGGCCTTCGTGTGAAGGGGTCGATTGGGCCTTCTCTTTCGGATGGCCTTTTAGATGTAAGGCTCAGGTCCTTCTTCTTAGTTGTCTGTTTACTTTCACTCGTTCTGGAAGTGGTCTTCTGAGGACAGCTAATCAGCCGTGTCGATGATACCCTGTGGGGTGATGAGAGCAGTGTAGTAGACAATGGTTTGAAGAGAGTAACAGGATGGTCCCACTTAAATTCACCTTCTTAGATACTGTACTTGGAACAGCTACTCAGCCGTAACATTGATTGTTAGTGGAGGCAACTTTGTCGTCTTCACCTCGTGTTGATTTTCAGGGTCGGGACCAATATGGACAAAAGCTGCAGCTTGAGGTCCGTCTAGTCTGATCTGATCATTCTTATCTCAATCTTTTATGCACTCAGGTAAAGAAGGGTGTTTCCGTCATACTGACACGCTCTCTGAGCTCCCTCGGGCGTGGCTAGTTACGAGGCAAAAGTATTATCATCACTATGATTTTGTTAGAAAGCTAAAATCACATTCCTATCTTGTTGTTGGCCGTTTGCCAAGCTAATGTGAGGCCTATGATCCTCACCCAGGGAGAGTCATGACAATGGTGATCGAACAGGTTTCCTGTTATATTCATCAGAAGTGTAGGGAGGGTGAAGTCTGTGAATCCAAAAAATAGTAATTATACAGATGATTAACAAAACATGCACACAACAGTACTCATACCTCGGTTTTTGTGGTAAATGTGAATGAAAAAAAACTGTTTTGATAATGGTTTTCATACACATACCTTGTCCATAATGTAGAGGCCTATGGGATATTCATTGAAGAGGTAAGGGAGGAGGATGGTAAATGTGATC